GAGAAGCAGTTGAAGTTTTGTGTAGTCAGTTTAGAAGCAACTGTCAGTAGTTACATAATTATAAGTGAGTGGCTGAAAGGTGGAACGAGAGATAGATCAAAGCGGAGAAGTCGAATAGCTTCTGAATTCTATAAAGTCCAAGTAAGAGATTGTTAGTACATGAAAGAGAGGAGAGAATTTTGGAGTTTGTTGAACGAGTACTGGTAAAAGAGCCCTGGTCGTCTTTTTGGAGGAAGAGTTGCTGGTATGCTGATAGGTTGACAGTTAGAATGGAGAAGGCTTTTATTGGTAGCCCAACATAATCAACAAGGGGGAGCTGTTCTGGTCGAAAGAAGACATCGTCGTGTGTGAGTTAAAAGGTCAGTTAATAATTTTTATGACAGAATTTTTTTTGTATGTTTTAAATAAAAGACTCTATACTGTCAGAAGAACAAAAATTATCGCTATTTTAAGATACCATAAATTTCATAAAAGTTTTTTTTTAACTTCAAAGGATTATTATTAATATTGCGTAATAAATTTAAAAGGTTTCTTTTTATAATATTCAGAATTTTTTTACAAAAACAAAAAGTTTCGTATTATTTCTTTTGATAATAAAAGATATTTGTATTTGTTGAGAAAATATGAGTATATACTGAGCTGATTTATTTTTTGGAACCCTGAGATTGTTTTTTTTTTATATATGATTTGCGACACTTAGATAATTAATCAAATAAAGTAATTAAAGTAATTAAATAAATAAAAAGAAAGAAAAGTCAGATCATAATAATATATTAAACCTAAAGCTAAAATTAATATTATTACAAGAATGAATATTAAACTCAAGAGGCTTTCGGGTTGAACCGCGTCGATTATCACTGCGTCAAGCTTACGACATCCTCTCTGATATCTTCTTCATAGCTTCCAAGGTCTTAAGAAGTTATAGTTGTATGAAGTAATGTAATGTTTTATTAGTTTTATACCTGATTTTCTACGTACAAAAAATGCTGCATTCTTTTTATATTCAGGCATTACATACATACATTTATTTCAGGCTTAATTAATGGGATCATCCAACAAAGTGGGTCACCATTATGTGGTGTCTTTTATCCAACAAATGACAGAAAATTGGCATTTGAATTCGGTAAAACGTTAAACAGTTCATTTACTTCTGCCGCATCAAGTGATTTATTAGAACTTTTACAACAAGCATCAACCTCAGATATATTAGCTGTTCAGAGTAAGGTAAATACAACATTTATTTTTATTGTTATCCTGAAATGGTGTTATGTCAATAAATTAATATTTTTTATTTTATTAATTACATTCGGATTAACGTTACTATTATTGAAATTTATTGTACACTTTTTGACCAATAACTAATTTTTATTTTCAATCATCTACCTTTCTATCCGGTAAGTAGAGTCTTGGAGATGCAACCAAAGTATATAAAAACTTTGATCATTCACCAACAAGTATTTAAATTTCAATTAAAACTGCAACTTCCTTTACAGTAAAAATTGAGCTTTGGTCTTATGTCTTCTGTCTTTAACATTTCTTGAAGGTTCCAGAGGTTGGAGCGGATCAGAGGTAAAGCTCAAAGATATAGCTATCTATTCTCATATGCAACTTTTATTCAAAGGAAGTTTTTAGTTTTTTTTTAATAACTCATAAGTGTATTTTCTGTGTACGTTACCCATCCAAAACGTACTATTAGTGTAATACTACTTTAATATAACTTATTTTCGATTTCTCGTGTACGATTTTATGGAACATGTAAGTCACTGGGAAATATACTTGCTATTTATTATCCTTTTTTTATTTCTATATATCCGACGTTCTTATAGGGTATAAGAAATGCAAGAAAAAGAAGAAATATACTTTATTTTCTATTTTCTCTGTATTTAATGTGGCTTTTAACGACAATTCTTCTACGAATCTTTTCATCCTTCAAAAATCATTTGCAAAAAAATTGACTACGGCTCAGTGGTATATAATTCAGCCAAGAAATATGTTCTAAAAGAACTAGATATAATTAAAAATACGGGACTGCGAGTCGCTTTGGGTGTCTTTCGAATAAGCCCCATTCTAAGTATATGTAGTAAGTCAGGGCGAAGTCTTTAGAATTAGGAAGAGATTTTTACTGGGTAGATGGCCCAGTAAAAATACGGTAGTGCATCGAACGATTGCCGGTATAAGCAATCCCCCACTTACTGACCAACGGCTTCGGACGGATGAGTTGGTAAGTGGTAGGGCACTCTTTTGTCCTTGGGCTGAGAAATCGACCCTAAAGGCGGATGAGCCAAGTATACGGTCAACGGCATAAGGATGCAGAAGGCAAGGGGAAACCACTGCATTAAAGGTTCAAAAGAACATCCTTGGTAAGTCAACATGGCTAGTAAAGACCTACTCAAAAATGTTACTGATCATGGAATACGGATACCAAGATCCGGCAGGAGAGGGCAATCGCAAGACTATGGGGCCTCTCCGGTCGTCAACATGCAAAATCCCTGTAAAAACATGAACAAGTCGAACAGAACTAGACTAGGTATTAGAGTTGGGACATGGAATGTTAGAAGTCTGTTTATGGCTGGAAAACTAGACAATGCCATCTTAGAAATGGAACGTTTGAATGTAAATGTATTAGGAATTAGCGATGTGAGATGGCAAGGAACAGGTAAATGTATAACAAACAACGGAATGCTATACTACTCAGGAAACGATGACCCATCACATTTGTATGGCGTAGGAATTCTCGTTGATTACAAAATTAATAGAACAGTAATAAGCTTTACTCCACTATCAGACAGAGTCGCGATTCTGAAACTTAATTCAAAGACTGTTCCAATAAACATAGTACAGGTGTATGCTCCAACAGCCGACAAAGATGAGGAGGAAATTGAAATATTCTATAATCAACTCAATGCCGCTCTAAAATTGACAAAAAAATGTGAGATAACAATCATCTTAGGGGATTTTAACGCCAAAATTGGTAAAGGAGCAGTGGCACCATGGATTGGTGAGTTTGGATTGGGCGTTAGAAATGAACGTGGAGATAGACTCTTAGAATTTTGCCAAAATGAAGATCTGGTTATAGTAAATACCTTATTTGATCTACCTAAACGTAGACTATACACGTGGAAATCACCAGCAGACCGAGAATCACACATCGTCAGAAACCAAATAGATTTTGTCTTGATCAGAAATAGGTTTAAAAATTCAATAAAATCAGCAAAAACTTATCCAGGTGCCGATATATACTCGGATCACGTCCCTATTATTGTCGAAATGGAAGCAAAATTAAAAAAGTTAAAAAACAAAAAGATTAGAAAAGAATTCGATGTGACAAGATTAAAAGATACTCAGATAGAACAAAGAGTTAGACAGAAAATCAATGATAATCTTAAACCCATCAAGTCAAAAAACACCAACTCTAAAGACGTAAATGAAAATTGGAGAGAGGTTCAACAAGCTTTAAAAGAAGCGGGAGAAGAAATACGTGGACCAATACCAAAGAAAAGACATATGTGGATGACAGACGAAATACTAACTCTCATGAATGAAAGAAGAAAATATAAAAACATAAACACTAGCAAATACAAATCCTTAAACAGCAGGATTAGAAAAGACATAATAACAGCAAAAGAAAGATGGCTAACTGAACAGTGTCACGAAATAGAAGAATATGAAAAGAAATATGATAGTTTCAATATTCATCGGAAAGTGAAGGAAATGACGTCGGGAAAACAAAATAATATACATGTTATAAAAGACTCGAATGGTAACATTCTCACAGATACAAAACAACAACTAAACAGATGGACAGAATACATAAAAGAACTATTCGGGGATGACAGACAACAAATCATAGATGAGGACTCTGGTGAATCGGGACCAAAAATTTTAAAACAGGAAGTTCAATACGCATTAAAACAGACAAAAGGGAAAAAGGCCACAGGTCCGGATGAAATCCCGATTGAGTTTCTTAAACTGATCGATGATGAAATGATAGACATTCTAGTAGAACTTTATGATCATATTTATCAAACAGGTATTTTACCAAAGGAGTGGTTAGTATCCACATTCGTAATTATTCCCAAAAAGCAAAATGCAAAAGAATGCTCAGAACACCGTACAATTGCATTAATGAGCCATGTTTTGAAAGTATTTCTACGAATAGTCCACAACAGAATTTACAGAAAGCTGGATGATGAAATTAGTGATAGTCAGTTAGGCTTTAGAAACGGCACGGGAACCAGGGAAGCATTGTTCGGTATAAATGTGCTCATGCAAAGAAATCTGGATATGAACCAAGACATGTATACATGTTTTATTGATTTTGAAAAAGCATTTGACAAGGTACAGCACAATAAACTAATTAATATTTTAAAATCGAAAAACATCGATAGCCGCGACATCAGAGTAATCTCGAACCTCTACTGGAACCAGAAAGTCAAAATAAGAATTGAAAATCAAATGTCGGAAGAAATAGAAATTCTTCGGGGTGTGAGACAGGGCTGTGTATTATCACCACTGCTGTTTAATATATATAGCGAGGCCATTTTCCAAGAAGCTTTAGGAGAGTGTAACGATGGAATGATAATAAATGGTGAAATTATTAATAATATAAGATATGCCGATGATACTGTCATATTCACTTCAACTCTGCAAAGTCTATCAAACATACTGGAACGGCTGAATGAAAAGTGTACCATATATGGTATTAAAATGAACTTAAAGAAAACAAAATTCATGGTCATTACAAAACATCCAAAAGACAACGAGACACTCCATATTAATAATATCCAGATAGAAAGGGTAGATAAATACAAATATCTAGGAACATTGGTTAGTCAAAACGCAGAACAAACGCAAGAGATTAAAAGCCGTATAGAAATAGCAAGGGCAAAATTTGTAAAAATGAAACATCTATTGTGTAGTAGAGACCTAAGAATGGATCTAAGGATAAGGTTATTGCGCTGCTACATTTTTACAACCTTGCTCTACGGATCTGAGGCATGGACATTGAAACAACTGGAGATTAAGAAATTGGAAGCTTTTGAGCGTTGGTGTTATCGAAGGATGCTACGAATAGCATGGGTAGACAAAATTACCAATATTGAAGTCCTTGATAGGGTTAATAAGAGGGAAGAAATTGTACAGACAATTAAGAGGCGGAAACTTGAATATTTCGGTCATATATTAAGAGGTCCTCGTTACGGGCTACTACGTTTGATTATAGAGGGCAAAATAAAAGGTAAAAGAGATGTAGGAAGAAGACGAACCTCCTGGCTACGAAATCTAAGGGAATGGTTTAGTCTGAGCTCTAGCCAACTATTTAGAGCTGCTGTAAGTAAAGTAAGAATTGCCATGTTGATATCCAACCTTCGTTAGAAGATGGAACCTTAAGAAGAAGAAGATGGCCCAGTCTACCATAACGTTCATAACAATCATTTCAGCTATTACTTCTCATCTCACCCTCAATGTAATCCCCCTTTCTATAAACTGTAATTTCTGACTGTAAATAAACCACCAGTAAACACTGATCTATCAAAACTTAATAAACATGAAACCCCCCAGCCACATTATTAAACCACTTCAAAGATAATATGGATAGATTTAGCGACTACCGACAGATCTACAAAGATGCATCAAAAATAACGGACGGAGTGGGAGCAGCCATTTTCTCTAATATTCATAATGCTAAATTTAAGTTGCATAACAACTGGACTATCTCCAATGCAGAACTATAAGCTATCCTTGAAGTTCTAAAATTTATTAACAAAACGGACCAGAGAAATTATACAATCATAACTGACTCAATAAATGGCCCTTTGTGACATCCAAAACATATACTCCAGCAACCCTATTCATAAAGACATTTACAAAGAACTTCAAAATGCTGCAAAGGAAAACAAACACTTGGTATCAATCTGGGTTCTATCTCATATTGGAGTACACTGTAATGAGGTTGTTTATCAGCTCACGAAGCAGCGACAAGTGATCGTCAAGTTCGGCTAAATAGAATAGTGTCAAGTAATCTTAAATTGTGCTTAAAAATCATAGCTAGCTGTGCATGGCAAAACAAATGGTCGCAGTGTTCCAAAAAACTAAATTAAATTAAAGACAATGCTTTACAAAAACAAGTCTTTTTGTTATCTAGGAAAAAACAAGTCATCTTTACCTCCGACTTGGTCACACCCGCCGTACACATCTTTACCGAATCACAAGAGACAACCCCCCATACTGCAACCAGTGTCAAACCAACAGTATACTAAAACATATTTTAACCGAATGTCAAATTTTCCAACAACATTATAAAGTTTTTAACATCTATAGAAATAAAAGATATTTAAATTAAAATCTAGTTTGTATCATAAATTAAATCTATCAATCTTGTTTCATGTTAGTATGTAATTAATTATTATAACCTTTCTTTGTTTTATTATGTACTTTCCATTATTGTCATCTATTGTCACTAAATAAATAACTGAAAAGAAAAATTGGCTCTTAGATACGTAGAAATTGTTTTGAATATTTCAACATCGTTCGGTACTATAATTTGATTTCTTTTCCCCCTTTTTTTATAATTTTGACAATACGAGTCTTAAAAAACACAAATTTATAGTTTCAATTTCAATACTTTGTATATTTATTTTGTAGTTGACTTCTGGAAGATCTGTAGGATTTATGGATGCCATTACATATAAACCTGTCATTGAAGGTACCTTTAACGATGATGCTTTTATTACTGAACCGATGCATGGTGCAGTACAGGATGGTCATTTTAATTTAGTTCCTATATTAATAGGAATCACTTCTGAAGAATCCTTAATGTTTTTGTTTGGTAAGTAACCTCTTTATTAATTTATATTATTCTTACGTTAAAAATGAACACCATAGCAACTCTAAGAGTTTTCAAACTATTTTGAAAATTAGAATATATAGATATTTATTTATTTTTATAACTAATAGGCACACAGTCCCATTAGTTAAAGAATTAGTTTAATTTCATTTCATAATTAATTACATTATTTACACTGTTTACAATTTATTAGATTTATATTAAGCATTTTCTTACTATTAATGTGGTATTGTTTCACTGATTTTTCTTTTCCATGCTATTCTATTTTTTGCCAAATATCCCATCAATTTACTTTTAGTACAATTACAGTACAATTACATAGTACAATTACAATTACAGTACAAGTACAATTTACTTATCCCATCTTTTTTGGTAGTTTCCCATTGCGTGTAGATGAACCCGCCATCCTAGCTCCCCTGGCATACTTGTCTCTATTGTAGCATCTTTGATTCATCCTGTAAATGTTTGTTTCCTGATTTATGTTTGTTTTACTTATCATATTGCGTACATACATTTCGTTTGTGAGAGTATCTCAATTGAGGTCGGCATAAGAAGGAAAGTAATTAGCAGCCGATCAAGGATTGAAATTTGTGTGGAGAACTTTTAGCTGTTGGAAGAATTATTGCTGACGAGAAAAGAAATTTTGTTATAAGGGGACTTCCATGTTGACTACCGTAGTTTTTTTGCGACAGTTGAGTACGTGACCCGTAAAAAATGCGAAAATCCATATAAAAATGCAGTTCTACTAATATATAAGTACATAATATTCTGCCTCATCTCGAGATACAGAAAACAGCTCGGCAGAGATGAAATATGTGTTGAAGACTAGTTACGTTAACAGTTTGTAGTTAGTTTGGAGCACTATGCAAGTTTAAATTATTTTAAAACTTGCCAAAGTCAAAATGTTTGGAGATACAACAGCAGAATGTTTTCTATTTGGTGAACCACAGAAATATAACTGATTTCATTTATAACTTTTATTACATACTTATTAAGTGCAGTGCAGTTCCACGTTTTTCTCTGTAGGGTATGTCCCTCAATTTTTTTGTATTCCGCAATCTTTGTTTTTTGATGTACAACCTAAAAGTTTGTATGTTTGAGGTAATAAGTATTGAAAGTATATCATCATATGTGTATTGCTGTCTAATAAAACTAATGAGAGAACCAGACTCCAAAACTGATCGAACTAAACTAAAGTATAACATTTTTGTAACAAGATTGTACTGAAAACTGATTGCAAAAAAAAATTCCAACATATTTTAAGCTATAGTTAAAGTTTCATTAATATTATATTTATAGGTTAATTAACGAAGAATAGAAACCTAGTAGAAGACGTATCAATATTAAATCAGTTTGACCTAGGAAGCGATCATAGACTAATAAGAACAAAACTAGTAATTAACAAAAATCTAGAAAGAAAAAGAATACATGAAAAAAGATACAAATGGACATCTGAAGAAATCAAAAATAGTGAATTTAATAAAAAGATAGTGCATGCATTAAATCAAGTTAGCATGCAGCAGATAAACTCCAATGATATTGATGATTTGAATAACCTTATTACCGAAACAGTGAATAAAAGCCTTCTTCAACTGAAAAAACCGAAAACAACATACAATGAATTAGACAAAGAAATATTACAACAAATAGAAAGAAGGAAGATTTTAAATAAATCTAACAAAAGGGGAACCGACGAATATAGAGAACTTAATAGGCAGATTAGAAAAGGAATCAGACAACAAAAAAGAAAAGAAAATGAAAAATTAATAACAACAACTATTGAAAAAAGTAAGAGTATGAAATGTCTCAGACCGACACTAGGACGACGTCAGATGATATCATTAATAGGAAAAGACGAAAATGAAATCACAAGTAGAGCAAACATACTGACACGAATAGAAGAATTTTACACAGAACTTTACAGATCACATCAACAAGATGATGAGATGAGACCAGCACGGAAATTAATAAAAAATGTTGGATCAGAAATAATGCCAAAAGTAACAATTTCAGAGGTAACTACAGCATTGGAAAACATGAAGAGAAATAAAGCTGCAGGAGAAGATAATATTACCACAGATATGATATTAGAAGGAGGTAAGGAACTAATTGCAATTGTAACTAAGCTTGTGGACAGTTGTTTACATCAGGGCAAAGTCCCTAAGAGCTGGAACAACTCTAAAGTAATCTTATTGCACAAGAAAGGTGATAGTCGAAAATTGGAAAACTACAGACCCATCAGCCTATTGTCACACTTGTTTAAAATACTCACCAAAGTCATAACTACTCGACTAACAAGGAAATTAGACGAATACCAACCATATGAACAGGCAGGTTTTAGAAAAGGCTATTCAACTTCCGATCACCTGTTAACCACAAAAATATTAATAGAAAAATGTAACCAATACAAGTTTCCAGTTTTCCTTGCATTTGTAGACTACGAAAAAGCTTTCGATACCATAGAACACACGGCCGTAATAAACGCAATGCAAAATTGTAGAATAGACAGCAGATATATTAACTTAATAAAAGAAACTATGAACCAAGCTACAGCTACATACTACCTAAATGAAAATGAACACACGAACCCTGTACCATTAAAAAGGGGAGTCAAACAGGGAGATACTTTATCACCCAAACTGTTTACCTTAGTTTTGGAGGACGTTTTTAAAAACCTAAATTGGAAATATAAGGGAATAAACATCAATGGCTGCTACCTCAGTAATCTACGATTTGCAGATGACATAATCCTGATAGCTACTGACCTACAAGAAATGCAAACCATGCTTGTAGAACTTCATACCGAATCTTCTAAAATAGGACTGAAAATGAATTTAAACAAAACAAAAGTCATGCACTCCGAAGACACCGTGACAATAATAAACGATAAAGTTCTAGAAAAAGTTGAAGAATATATATACTTAGGACAAAAAATAATCCTAAATAGGGAAATTCAGACTGAAGAAATAAAAAGAAGAAGAAAGTTAGCTTGGGCAGCATTCGGCAAACTGAACTATATACTCAGAAATCAACAAATTCAGTTACACCTTAGATCTAAAGTTTTTGATGCATGCATTATTCCGATATTAACTTATGCGGCACAAACATGGACAATCACAAAAAAGAATATGAATATACTTAGAGTCACTCAACACGCGATGGAAAGAGCAATGCTAGGTATATCACTTAAGGACAAGAAAACAAACACATGGATAAGACAGAAAACCAAAGTCACCGATGTGGTGCAAAAAGCATTAAAACTGAAATGGGAATACGCTGGACATGTAGCTAGGAGCGATCTAAACAAATGGCACAGATCAATTTTAACCTGGAGACCATACCAACACAAAAGACCCAGAGGCAGACCTCCTATGAGATGGACAGATGATCTGAAAAGGACTGCTGGGAAAAATTGGCTACAAGTAGCGTACAATAAAAAACAATGGAAAGGAAGACTTGAAGAGGCTTATGTTCAGATGTGGATGTGAATGGCTAGACGAAGAAGAAGAAGAAGAAGGTTAATTAAGAATCAAAATTTATACCCAAATCTTTAATAATATTACGGGCCTTTAAAGGTACATTATTATTATACAGCTGGGAGAATTGATAGAGATACTTTAGAAGAAACTGAAGATTTCTTTAATGAAATAAGAGGTTTTATTTAATTTTATTTAGAGGCCTAAGCGGAGAAAACAAGATTTACAATTCAATCTAAAAAGTTGACACTGGGCACAGAAAAACGGACTCAAACCTTTTTTACATCATCAATAAACTTATTCCAATATTCAAAGAGAATATCCACTAAACAGTTAGACGAATAAATAGCATTTATATTGGTTCTTCTCCAAAGGGGGAGGAGGTAGATGTAAAGAAAAACAGAACACTCTCTTTGCTTTTCTTTAATTTATGTAATTTAGGTTTTAATAGTCTGATACGCCACTGTCAAAAAGAACGTTTTGCGGTTTTATGTATTTGACAATATCGTAAATTTATTTACCTTGACTGTAGTGTTTAAAGTTTGCTATATGTTTTTATTTTTCGTTGCAACTTTAATAATATATGGAGAATATATGTATAGTTTTTTTTTTTGTAGAAATTAATGAAAGTGATATTGAGAAAAGAGCCAAATATCTTGATGAAGATCCAAAAAATCTTATAGGAGATTACCTTAATGTAGCCGAACAAGACAGAGCAGCAGCTGGCTCTATTCTACATACGTATTATAATTATTCTACTTTTACAGAAGATAGAACTGCGTTAATAAAAGTAAGCATACAATACTTACTTTATTATTAATAATAAGGAACAGCGTCATAAATGTATTATTTTATTATAATCCGGTGAAATACAACACAAAAATGATGTCTCGGAAAATTTAAGTTTGAAATCCAATACAAATATTAAAATGCTTGTTAATTATCATATTGGTAATTGATATTGAAGGAAGGCAAGGCACCTATACTGTTTCATTCTTTTTGTAGGTATTTGGTATTGTATGTAAATAATTGGTATTTTTACAAACCTTAAAGATCTCTACTTTTCTATATCTTTTTTTGGTCATCATAATACTTACTTTATGTCTTCAGGCTCTTTTGTAGTGGATCCCTATTTTATTTCTTATGTGAAAACGCAAAAAAATGGCGAAGGCGATTTCTCATTTATGTATGTATAATAATGCTAGATGGAACAACATACAGATGAGAAGCAAGAAAAAACATACAGATGGGTTTATACTAAAAATACTTCAATTCCATAAAATTGAAAACATTACTTGTGTCGCACTTGATCATCAGAATACTATATGCCTTCAGGCTCTTTTGTAGAGGATCCTCATTTTATTCCTTAAGTGAAAACATCAAAAATGGCGAAGGCGTGATCTCATTTATGTATAATAATGCTATATGGAACAACATAGATGAGAAGAAAGATAAAACATACAGATGCGTTTATACTAAAAATACTTCAATTCCATAAAATTGAAAACATTACTTGTGTCGCACTTGATCATCAGAATACTATATGCCTTCAGGCTCTTTTGTAGAAGATCCCCACTTTATTTCTTAAGTGAAAACGTTAAAAATGGCGAAGGCGCAGTCTCATTTATGTATAATAATGCTATGGAACAACATAGATGAGAAGAAAGAAAAAACATACAGATGCGTTTATACTAAAAATACTTCAATTCCATAAAATTGAAAACATTACTTGTTCGCACTTGGTCATCAGAATACTATATGCATTCAGGCTATTTTGTAGAGGAACCCATTTTATTTCTTATGTGAAAACGTCAAAAATGGCGAAGGCGCGATATCATTTATGTATATAATGTAGGAAAATTTGAGCTATTATGTTTAAAAAGTGTTCACTAAAAATAATTTTGCTATTTCCAAATGTCCTGTAAAACAAAAACCTTCTTTAAATTTCATGTAGTATAGTATTACAAACTTGCTTAGCTTCGCTGTTTCTTCCTGCATTCACAATCATCAACTAACTCGGTTTCTCTTATGGTGTGAATAGTTTCTCTTTCTTTTCGAATATTTTTTTTTAAATGAAGCCAGGAATCGTTTTACGGTTACGGAATCAATAGCAGTGTTTTTGTATTTATAAATAAAGATGTCAACGTGGGGCACAACCATCGAGCAAAAAGACAAAAGAGGGAATGTAAAGGTAGTGGAGGCAAAAATATTGTTAGACAGGAAGTGCCATCTTAAGAGGCCAAATTAAACAAGGAAAGAGAGTCTTTCCTTATTTAAAAAATCAAATTTAGTTGGGTTATGTTATTGTTTGTCCCAACTGTCACATGAAATCTTATTTATATTGAAGTTTTTTAACAATTGTTTCACATTTTAGACTGTTATCGTTGATATTTAATTAAAACTTTCTCGTCTAAGACACATTCTGAAAACTATTTTATAGCTACTCTTAATAAGTGTCGCATGAATGGCGCATTCGCATTTCCGGATATGTCCGCCATCAGAGGCCACTTTTTTGGTCTCCTTTGTTCTCCTTTTCATAACGATCAAATAAATTGAGAGTAACCCAAAGAAAAATGGAAAGAGCAATGTTGGGAATAATTAGAAGAGATATGGTACCAAATAGGATAGTGAGAGAGGGGACTAAAGTGACAGATGTCATAGAAAAAATTGCACAAGCCAAATGGAGATGGGCTGGACATATAGCACGTTTAAATGATAATAGGTGGACCAAAAGACTCATAGAATGGAGACCTAGAGAAGACAAAAGACACCGAGGCAGACCACCAAAAAGATGGATGGACGACTTGAGAAAAACAGTCGAAAATTGGATACAGAAGGGGCAAGATAGAGAACAGTGGAAGAACATGGAGGAGACCTATATCCAACAGTGGATGCAAGAGGTTGAGGCATGATGATGATGATGATTTCATAACGATTAGATTCCCTCTTTTGTCTTTTTGCTCGATGGGCATAACACGATGAATGACTTTCAATCAAAATACAAATGTCATCAAACATCAACATCAAAACATCATTCAATAACCCCAACAGCGCACCTGCTTTTGTTATGGTATCAGATTACCTAAATGTGGATTGCATGTTTTTTGTGCACTCTATTAGGGCTCCTCTATTTTCAGACACCATATTCACCATTCTAATTTTAAAATTCCATCTTGAAGCAGATGCTAACGGAACCCTATTTCTAACAACTTCATCTAATACGGCAACTCTCTGAGGTAAATTTAAAAAAAAATTAGTAATGTCTCTCAAATCAACAAACAATATGCTTACAATAATATTTATGCTTGTTGTCGGAGACATTAATAAATTTAACTGATGCGCATAATAATGTATATAATTGGCTTAACTAAATTTATTCTGAATGAGTTTTTGCAAACCGCCTTAAATGCTACTCATAACACTTACTCCACCATAGCTTTAAGAAGTTAACTGAAAGATTTTTCTATGTGCTAGCTAAGGAAACATAATCAGGTGGTTATTTGGTTTTAAAAAAGTTTTTTTTCATCTCTTGACTGATTTTTTCCTCCTTATTCTTGCTGCGATTTGTATTGCACGTTTTTCCCTGCGTTTTTTATAGCTTTTATTAAGTTACCATTTATGGTTTCAACATACATATTGTTTGTGTTTGTTGTCTGCAGACATCTCAGAATCTGTTTTTCGTAGAACACTAACGATTATTTATTTTTAAATGAACCAATTTATAATAGTTTGTACAGAAGGTAAAACAAGAAGCCTTGTTTTTTAATCTAAATTTCAATAAAATGCCACTTAAATTCCATGATAACTGAATATTTGGCTAATGCAATGCTGGTAGTTGTCATATGTCATATTGTTTTGAGTTGCATGCAATAATTCTCGACATCTTGACAGTCTAAAACATAATACTTCACGACATAGGTCTGAGAAAAACCATCTTTGAGGATTATAATAAGCAGAAAGTTCACACAGATGTTATACGTATTTTATTTGATTTTAGTATACCAGTGATGAAGTTTTTACGAGATCAGTTATACGTCAAGCTGAATGTGCTTCACGATATGTACCTGTTTACATGTATGAACTATCATGGTTACCCGAAGGTAGTACTGATATAGGTAAGTTTCAAACATTAAACTTACTATCTTTTATAAGAGCATACATTCGTTAATTATCTCCGATTATCGTTTATGGATGCATGCCTAAAAAACAATTCAAGATATTATCCGAGTTTTAGGCATGTGTCTTAGCTGATATGATTAATTGTCCAGAAGATGATATGTCCAGAATACTATAATGTATATGAAAGTTTACTATAATGTATATGGAAGTTCTTAAGATATCTTGAGACCTTACTGTACCCACAGACCACCCAGTTCACAGAATAGGCCAAATCTTATATAACCCGACAAGCGAGAGCTGGCGGGTTGCGCCTAGAACAAATTGAAAAGTGGAAGGAATTGCTCATTTCTATTGCAGTCGGCTAGGAGTTTACATCGTGTATAACCGTTTAAGTACCTATACTATATACCTATAATCGCGATTAAGTACCTCTCCTATCTCTCTTAGAATAATTCCTTTTCTATTTTCGCGCAGCTCACCCGCCAGCTCTCGCTTGTCGGATTATACTAGTAAACAATTAAGGCAGATGAACAATGTTTATTGGAGAGTTGTTCGAACCTTCATACTAGTAGGACAAGCGATAGTGTGGGTAGTGAACAAATTTTTAGATCTGTTCTTATAAATAAACTTTAAATTTTTATTAAAAAGACAATTAAAAAGTGTATACTTATAACTAATATAAATAATATCGGTCTCCGATGGGAGTCAAAAATAAACATTGGACTTTTTTGTGACTACAGATACTGATATGGATAACAGTGATTTAAGTTCAAGTATTAATAATGGTAATCCAAGTAATAGTGACCTCCAGACAACAGCAAAGCAGTTGGAACTAGAAACATTCAGTCTTTCCTCTGATAAGTACAATATGTAAAATATTTGGGTATATATAGAAAGTACTCATAACAACAATTTATCTACAAAGTGGAAACCACTTATGGAATAAAATTGTTTTTGTCCTTATTTTAGAAAATAATAATAAAAAAACGTTGAGATACCGTAACTTTTAAATTTAAATGTGTACTTTTTAAACATAAATTTAAATGTATAGGGTGATCCGTGCAAGTCTGGTATAGTCTATAATCTGTATTTTAAATGAAATACCCTGTATATTTTTATGTTTTTAAAAGCTCCTTAATAACCTGATCTTAACGAACTATATCATGGGTCTATTATTAATAATACAAGGTAAAATCTTTAAGACAATTAATTCATAGAATACCCGAGGTAATTAATTGGATTACATTAAAATTAATGATTAAAATGTTCTCCACCTTGTTTTTGGCAATAATACAGTCTCCTATAAAACTCGTTCCGAACTTTGTTTAAAGTTTGCGGTGAAATATTCCGTATTTCTGTAGTTATCTCCTTTCTTTAAGATCTTCAATGCTAGTTGGTTGTGTTGCATATACTTTGTCCTTGAGATAACCCCACAGAAAAAAATCCAAAGGCGTAAGATCTGGCGACCTAGCTGTAGTCGCCAGCTAGTATAGTACGACTTCGTCCAATCCATTTATTGAAGAAGATTTCATTCAAGTAATTTCTCACAACTAAAGCATAATGGGATGTTGCACCGTCTTGCTGAAACCAGACAGTTTCATGCGGTAGGATTGAATCTATTGGATTGGGATATAAGTTAGCCAACTGAGGAAGAACATCGTTTCTTAGCATGCCTTAATATTTTTCCGCTGTCAAATTACCATCTACAAATATAGGACCAATAATATAATCTCCTATAATACTTGCCCAAACATTCAACTTTTGAGGATACTAAGTGTGTGTCTCACGCATCCAATGAGGATTCTCCGCTGAAAAATATCTACAGTTTTGCCTGTTTACCTCTCCGTCCAATGTAAATGTTGATACATCAGAAAAAAGAATTGTGCCAAGAGCTATTTCATTTGTGTTAATTTTATCCATCATTTTTACAGTTCTAGCAGAAGCCCAAGAACCACCTTTACACATATGTAGGCAAATGTTAGTCAACAAACGTCTAATAACATACAAACTTTGAATTTCTGATAGACAAACCAACCATTATATTGCCGTCTTATTTAGATTTAATTTTAACTAATCTGATATTTAAATTCATACTAAGCAAATTGGGGGAAGTTTAACAATAATTTATACAGATCGATCAAAAGTTGTTGGTTTCAACAGCAAACAAAAAGTGCTGGTTTCACATTTTTTGTTTAAAACTATTATGTTGAGAAATATCAAATTCCTAAATGTTGTTTTTACAACCAAGGCTGGTGCTATACAGACAGCACTAACTTGCTGTGTCACTAATTGCTGTGAGAACATCGTAATAGTATCAGATTCTCAGGCAGTATTACAAGCTATTCATAGCCATCCAAAACTAGTTAGTTAGATAGTTAGATAGATAGTTTTCAAAACTCCATTATACTTTACTCTGGGTTAAAAGACACAATGGAATAATTGGAAACCAATTAGTGGACAGTATGGCAAACAATACATGTGAGATATCCGAAATTACAAACGTTTACTACTTTAAAGATCTTTTTTCCATTATCAGGAGTATTGCGATTCTATGGGGTAGTAGAGGTGGATAGGGCATGTAATACCGATGGAATAAAATGGTGATGATGATGAAATATGTATAGTTATATAAAAAATGTTTGTTATAATATCTATACTTTCCTACTGTTTATAATAAAGAAAATTGAATTTTATTAATGATGCATTTCCCTATATTCCCAGAGGTATAAATAAAAAGATATGGTTGAATTTTATATTATTATCCCCGGAGCTAGGAACATCATTCGACCAAATATTGACGTTAGTAAAAACCTATACAAAATATGAAAGCATACAAGTATTTTCCATAAAAACATCTCTAGTGAGCATCCTACAAAACAAAGATTTAATAACTGCTATAAAATATTTTCTTTTTAATTCGTTTATATTGATGTTAACATATTTTAGGAGTTCCACATTCAGCGGATTTATGGTATTTATGGGATACGATGGCATTTGGCGACAATAATGAAATATTGCGGAAACCTATACTAAAGTGGTGGACTAACTTTATTAAATATCAGTAAGTACTATTTTTTTCTACGACTTTTTTGCCATATGTGTTATTGCTGTTTAAATTTTATTTATTGCTGTTTAATTTTTATTTTATTTCTCTTGCACTTTCTCATTATAAAATAGCGTAGGTGCATGATCTTCTCAATCTAAAACCTTGTTCTTTTTCTGCTAGTGCTATAATTTTATTCAGTTTATTTGTTATAACTATGGTTGTTAATTTTATTGTTATGTTTAAAAGGGGAATGTCTGTAGTTTCCCGGGTCCAATTTTCCTCCCTAATGAAGATATGTATTAGGATGTTCTCCATATTAGTAGTATTCAGTTTTCTTCTATTATTTTTTTGGTTTAACTTTTATAGTTGTTTGGTATAGATATTTTAGGGTGCAGTGAAGTTCGATGGCCAAATTCTGGAATAAGAATTATAGATGAACACCATATATGACACCAAAAGAAATAGAAATGACGGAGCGATAATAATAAAAAGGGAAATAGCAAAAGCAGTAATAAGATTTACACCTATATCAGGCAAAGTTGTGCTATTGAAAAAAAACCCAAGTCCCTCTAATATAAAAATCATTCAGGTTTACGCACCGACATCGGAATCCACTAAAGAGAAAATAAAAAAAAATTATCAGACACTAGAAGACTATCTAAAACTGCCAAAAAACATGAATTTACTATTATTAATGGCGATTTCAAATCCCAAATATTATCAGGTATAGTCGAGGATATCGTGAGCTGATATGGTCTTGGTATCTGAAACGAAAGAGGATAAAGACTAATCCAATTCTACCAAGAGATTAACGAACACAATTTTTAAATTACATTCCAAAAAGTCTTTATACATGGAAAGCACCCGGTGATACCCCAGGGAAAGTCATAAGAAACCAAATTGATTTTATCAACATAAACAAAAGGTTTAGAAATTCTATCACCTCAACAAAAATATATCCAAGGGCAGATGTCTTCTCAGATCATAGTCTATTGGTTGCAAATATTACCATACGACTCAAAATAATTCATAGAAAAATGAGGCCCAAGATAGATATAAGACTACCGAAAGAAAATGACACCCCAAAAAAGTATAAACAGAAATTAATAAGAATTTTGCGAAAATAGTTGAAGACACTACTAGAGGCATAGAAGAACAGTGGAACGACATAAAGACATCTATTACCACAATTTCGCATGAATATCTAAAATCAAAAAGAAAAAAGAAGCAAGAATGGACGACAGATAAAATATTGTCGATGATGGAAGAGCGAAGAAAATTGAAAGGAAGAAATGACAACAAATACAAAAAGTTGCATAAGACTATACTAAAGGAGATAAAAGGAGGTTGAAACATATATTTCAACCATAAAACGATTAAAGGCATTTGAAATGAGAAATATATGTTAGTTGAAACACTACAACGCAAACATGACGATTTTCATATGCACAAAAAATTAAAGAGGTACATAATACCAGAAAACAACGCAATACAGGCATAGTTGTAGACATTAATGGCCAAATTTTGACTACTATTGAAGATAAATTATGAAGATGGAATGAATATATGTAAGAATTATTCGAAGATCCAGCACGAAGTTCGACTGAAATAAAAATCCCTATGGCCCAGAAATAACAAACGAAGAAGTAACTATGGTCATTAAGCGGATTAAAGATGGGAAATCACCAGGACCTGATGAGGTGCATGGTAAAATTTTAAAGCTATTAGAGGCACACCAAATCACAGCTCTTACGAAACTCTTTAACAACATCTACGAGACTGGATACTTATCAAAAGACCAGCTACTATCAATATTCATTACACTTCCTAAAAAAGCCAACGCTAGAAAATGTAAAGAGCATTGATTAATTAGTGTGATGAACAATATACTTAAAGTACTCCTTACTATCATTTACTCGCGCTTATACACCAAATTATAAGAACACCTGAGTGAAGTTCAATTTGGATTCAGAGCACGACTCGGAATGAGGGAAGCACTTTTTAGTTTGCAAGTTCTAATACAGAGAGCTAGGGATGTCAACTGCGATGTGTACGCATGTTTCATTGATTTCGAGAAGGCATTTGATAAAATCTCACATAGGAAACTAATCGATATCCTAAAAACATCAGGACTCGATGGTAAGGATATAAGACTCATCTTAAACTTATATCTCCAATACAAAGCAACAATACGATTAGAAAAGGAACTGTCCGAGATCTTTACAGTCGAAAAAGGAGTTAGACAGGGTTACATATTGTCACCTGCATTATTTAACATATACTCTGAAAACGAATCAGAAGATGGGATTGCTGTAAATGCTTAACTTATAAACAACATTAGATATGCACACGACACAGTGTTGCTGGCAGATAGTGCGCATAGGCTTCATAGGATGATGGGTAACGTTGTAGAAGTATGTAACCAATACGGTCTAAAACTAAATTGCAAGAAGACAAAAATAATGATCATTAGTAAGAACACCGTCATAACCGCCCACATAAGATCACAGCTACGAAATAAATACTCGTATTGAAAAAGCCAGAAGTTCTTTCAACACCCTGAGGAAAATTTTTTGCAACTTATCTTTAAGTATCAATGTACGCATAAGAATTTTTAGATGTTACGTCTTTGATGTCCTCCTCTATGTAGCAGAAAGCTGGAGCCTTACAGAAGATGCCATAAAACGATTAAAGGCATTTGAAATGTGGTGCTACCGACGTATGTTGAGGGTATCATATATACACCACACAAGTAACATAACTATTCTCCAGAGGCTAAGAAAAGACAAAGAAATTATTAACACCATAAAAAACAAAAAATTGGCTTACTTCGGCCACATCATGCGTAATGATAAATACCGACTTCTTCAGTTAATTCTACAGGCAACATTGAGGGTAAGAGAGGCTGGTCTATCGTCAACTGATCTATTTCGAGCTGCTGTTGAATAGAATAAGATGGGTGAATGTGGTCGCCAACCAGTCTCTAGACATTTAGAAAAAGTTGTTTGGTCAAATCTGGTCCTCCATACTTAAGGAGTTCGTTTGGTATTATGTTTTTTGTCTATGATTTTTTGATTTTAATTTCCTTAATGCTTTATTTACTCGGTGTTCGTGATTCAATATAGTCACCTTTAGCAAATAGGGATCGAAAGTATTCTACCCACGTTTTCTTCTGATTGTGTCACGTTTTTATTAGTTAGATCATCTTTTTTCTTTGCCTTCTGATCTTTCTCCATATTTTTTCTTGTTATCCCTAGAAGTCGTGTTTTAAGTGTTGAATGTAATCTATTTTGAGAAACTTTCTGAGTGTTTGCTTTTCATTTTTCTGACCAAAGTATTTGTTTCATTTCGAATTCGTTTATATAGCTTGTAAATATCTTGTGTTTGTTGTGTTCTGTATTGTAAAAGGCTTTCTTTTTTCTTCACGTTTTGTCTTTATTTTCTCCCTAAACCATGTCGTTTTCTTTTTTGATATGTAAGTGTTCGTTCCTTTCCTTTCTAAAAGTACTTCTTTTGCTGCGTTAATTATGTTTTATTCTGAGTTTTCTCACTTCTGAGTCATTGTTGTCTAATATTTCATTCTTAGCAATATTCTCTGACATTCTTTTTTTGTATAAGTATTTCATTTTCTTCTTCTTCAACACGAAAAACCTTACCAGTGCCGGTCACCGAAAGGATTGACATATTGAGAGCTCTTTCTTGATTCGGTGAGTGGTGGTGCATGGCCGTTCTTAGTTGGTGGAGCGATTTGTCTGGTTAACTCCGATAAAGAACGAGACTCTAGCCTGCTAACTAGGCGTATTTCGGTATCCCAAAGGCCCTTCGGTGGAGTTTCCTGCTATTGCTGTACGCGGTTTTTACTGTCGGCGTACACACAATTCTTCTTAGAGGGACAAGCGGCTTCTAGCCGCACGAGATTGAGCAATAATAGGTCTGTGATGCCCTTAAATGTTCTGGGCAGCACGTGCGCTACACTGAAGGTATCAACGTGTCCTCCCTGACCGAGCGGTCTGGTTAACCCGCTGAACCACCTTCGTGCTATGGATTGGTGCTTGCAATTGTTCCCATGAACGAGGAATTTGCAGTAAGCGCGAGACATAAGCCCGCGTTAATTAAGTCCCTGTCCTTTGTACACACCGCCCGTCGCTACTACCGATTGAGTCCATGATATTCATAGGATTTTTCTTTAACACCATAATTCAAAGGCCGCAACTTTGTTCATGCTTGCAAGCCACGAAGAAGCGTAGTAAATACGTAGCACCAAAGCACTCTTATAGCTTAGTTCTAACCCTATATCCCGATAACAAAGAAACTTTTTAAGTTTATTGAATAATGCACATGCTATTTCAGTAAAAGTCTTAATTTCTTTGGTTTGGTCTACATTTGATGTTATCTGTATTCCTAAGTATTTATAGATATCCACACTCTCAATTACGGTATCTTGAATAATCGATTGGATGTTTGCATCTACTGATTTAGTCATGATCATGCATTTAGTTTTTCTCAAAATCATCCTTCATACTGCATCGTGTGCAAAATACAAGTTATTCAAAACTTCTCAAGTGATAGATATACCCTCTATTGAATCTGAGAGCGCTTCTTTAAATACCGCTTCACAGTAGACATTGAAGAGTAATGGTGACAGCACGCAACCCTGGCGGACTCTCCTCTGTATTTTGATATATCGAGTATTCTGATTGTCTTACCGTGGTAGTTTGATTTCAATATAGATAAGAAATAATTTTCATATCACGACCACAGAATAATAAAAAATCAGAATACCCACTCTGAGATGCCGTCTTTTAAGTTTGTTAGCTCGCGAACGACATGTTTTAGACGGAAACATAGACTCGAATTGAGAAATTTGTGACAAGCTAAGACAGAAATGTAATTTAAATTTTAAGAGATTAATAATTTAGTACATTTGAAATAATTTAATCTATTCTTCAACTAAAAGTACGAATAAAATAGTACATATTATGTCTGTAGTTGTCGTAAATAAATTAAACCGTAAT